GAACCTTGGGTTTGAGGATGTGAATCTTTGTAGAGGCATGGTTGGTATGATATTTTTGGGATCAATACTCTGGCTTCAAGTCTAGGTGTGGCGTTTTTTTGCTCTCTACTTGTTTTTTAATTAGCTACTGTGACTAATGATTTTTTTTGTTTCACACAGAGTTTTCGAGTAACTTTGCTGCTGCTTTCTTGGTTTCAACTTTCTAGTCTTCAAAGGCCTTCTCTGTTTCTCCTTGGCTAAGATAATCCTTAGATATTTTTTGTTAGAGCTTATTCTGTTAACCTCACTATTTAGAGTTATTTTTCTAACCTTTTCTTTGTGTACTTTATGGCCAGAGCAACAGAAGAGAGATTAGCTGCCATGACAAAGGAACAGAAAAACCCTCTCTTTTTACCAGAGTTCTGTTTTTATGGCTTTCTTCTATTTAGGAGACAGCTCCTTTTCTTAAAGGAGAACTTCCATATTAGGCCAGTTTTGAAACAAAGATCTTTTAAACAAGAAAAGATGTTTGATGATGTACATCTCTTCGTTAGGAAATACATTAATTGTTGGATACATGACAGCTTCTTTCTAGCTATGCACACAGTAACCTTAATCTTGTGATTATCTGGTGTTAGGAACCCCATTAAGTCATCATTGTTTTTCCAACAGGATCTGGGAGCAATGATGGCAGGATTTAAGAGCCTAGGGACTCTTTTCTTGAAGAAATTCTCATAAATGTGTAACTGCTTCTTGGAGGAGTAACTGCGTACTGATTACTAAATGCAAACTGCTTGTAAGTTTGTGTGTTCACACACCCCTTTAAAAGAAGGACTTAGTCAACTACTCTAAACAGTCTCTCATTATAAACCAGATCTTTTCTACTGTCGTCCTCTTCTCCCGGAAAATCTTGTCCTTCAAACTTGGTTTTGTTTTCTATGTTTGTGTTGAAATTTCAAATGAGGATTTTCATTTTTCCCCCTCAACTTGTTAGCGTAGCCAGTTGTGTCCCAGCAGTGTTGTGCGAAGGGGAATTCATACCATGGCTCTGGCTCCCCCTGCGGGCTCCGTAGCACAACGGCACGAAATGCTGCAAGCTTTCGGTAACTGTGTGTATTGCTTACCTGGTGCCAAAGTAACCTGTGTCCGTCCCATTTTAAAAATCAAAACACTCTCTTATATTACCTTGTAGTGCTTTGGGGTGAGATGTAACAACGTGATGCTTTTCATTTTAGCAGCTGGCATATTCCTTCATTTCTTTATTCCTGAGGCTGTATGTAGTATTGTTAACAGCAATTCAGATTTTTCTTGGCAGCACCTACAAGTATTCAAATGTTCTCTTCCTAAAATATTATATGACCTTTCCTGGCAACTAGTAGTAAAGATAGAAGCAAATGTTTTTCCTGGGAACTAAATTGACCTGAAGTATGAATTTTCACTGAAGAGATGCAGAATGTGCAAAAACTTTTACATATAGTATAAATTCCATTCTCTTCCTTTTCAGAAGCTTGGTTGGCCTGTGATATTTGTTTTTTAAAACATTTAAAAATATTATAAAATGTAAAAAATAAAAATAAAAATTTGTGTTTAGAAACTAATGTCTATGCCTGACATCCGGAGTCTCCAAGGGCAGTGCATCACCAGTCAGTAGGAAGCTGAAGAGTGAGTGTTGACAAGTATGTTAATCCCCATAGGGAGATAGTTTTTACAGAGAGGAGGGGCCTATATTATATATTTTTTTTTCTATCTTTCTAGTACTTTTTTTTCACACTTTTTTCACTTTTTTTTTTTTTCCATTGGGGACAGTAGTCAAATATTAGATACTTGCAGTCTTGAAGGGGAAAGGTAAGGTAAGCAAACATCAGTTTTTCCTGCTACTCCAGCTGTGAAACTGCACTTGAATGTCAAGTGCTTAGGGCACTAGTGAGTAAGATTTTTGTTTTCTTGCTGTTTGTTTTCTGTTCTTCAGTTTACTCTTTAATAAACGTGGAGTGGGAACAAATAAGATAATTTGCCTTTGATAGCATGTTGCATGTTCACTTTGGAAGTTGCTGGCTTCATGGTAGTTGTGCCAATTTGAGAGGTTCACACTTGGGCTAATGAATATGCACCAGAGCAGCAGATACTTTTACATTTGTGGATAGTTACAGCCATCGATCCTTTTCTGTGCTTGTACCTTTTTACAGTTGCTGGTTGATGGTGTTTCAGAAGTTCTGTAATTGCCTCTGTCCCAACAGGCTGCTAATTTCAGCTGCTCTCATATATTTAATACATTTCTTCTATATTTCTTATGTATATACATGTCTGTATCTATCTATCTGTATTTGTGTTTCTCATATGTATAGGGAAGAGGAGTTAAAAATGCTCATGCACTTTCTTTGCGATAAATTGATTGGATTAGGTAAGACAGCTAGTACGTCATCCCAAGTCTAGCAGTTAGAGGAGAAACTTGAATCCATTCCCATTTTTTTTAGATCCCCTTACTTCTGATTCAGAATGTTTTTAATAGGGGAAAGCTGATGTGTTAGCTTTTTCTTGCATATTTCTGCTATCATACACTGTCTCTTATTAATAGTTAACATTATGGTTTAACACTGTCTACTTTTCGGTCTCTCCTGCAGTTTCTTGAATGACATAATGTCTAGATTTGTTAGAAATGGGGTCTATTCAGGAAGCTCTGCAGATAAATCATTACCAGGACTAAATTTTAAGAAGTGAGGTCTTCTGCAGTGCATTCCTAGCTTGACCTTCCTCAGCTCTGCTTGGAGTGATGATGACATATGACCAGCCACATGTTCATGATTTTTGAGTTAGCTGTCATGACTATCTGTAGCTTTTTTTGGTTTAAACAGCTTTACCCTTCATGAACAGAAGAAAGCAAGCAATATACAGTGGAAGATTACTTAGCTCTTATGTTAGTTTTCTGGTACTAATACTGAGGTTTCCACCCACAGAGACTGATCATGCTGTGGTTTTAGGGACTGATATCTGTGGAAGGTTACAGCTGTTAATGGGGGTGGTTTGCTTTTCTAGGCTCATGAAAAATAAAAAATAAAACTGTTTTTCAATTATGTGCTTTTTTTAGTGTATATATTTGGAGAACTCATTTGTAGTGATTTGCAAAATACTTATATAACATTGTTATGTGTGATGTGATTGCAGGATCTTCCTTTTTACCATGCTTACAAAAAGGCAAAGCAGGGTATTTTGACATAGGCTTCCTATTAATTGTAGAGAATGAAACAATCTCGTGTAATGCTTCTGTGTTTGGAGTGTAACCACTGAGGAATGATTAGGAATAATAAAATTAACCCTAAGGTGATTTCTGTTGGTTTCTGTTTATTTTTTTTTAAATTTGATGAAATGGAAGTAAAATTTTTGTCTAATCAGCTTTAGTAATCTCATCCCTCAAGCAGTTGCATTTAGCTGGTAGAGGATTCAGGTGTCACTCAGCCATAAAGGACTGGCACATCTACAGATCTTATGTGGTCTTATATTCATGTAGATGAGGTTGGTTAAATGTCTTCAGAATAGAGAAGTGTACAGTATGGCTTGCGTGGTGCATTCTTGTAATCACTGTATATCTAAGACACAATAATAATGTTGCTAAACCTAGTATAGCAATTGCACCTTTGTTTTTTCTAGGTTTTAGTAATTTTGAAAATCAAATGCTGTAAGAGCATTTAATTTGCTGTGTGGGTCTTTTATATAGTCAACTTAGACAAATTGTATGCTGTTGCTTGAGGAAGAGTTATAGTGAAGATTCTCCTCTGCCTAATTTCCTTGTACCTTCTGTTGAGAGATCATGAAAGCATTGGCATTAAATTTGGTATTTTCCCTTTTCTTCAGTTTCTAAGGGAAGATATGCAATACAAGGATGCCTCTAATAAACATAGTCACCTACACAGAGAAGACAAACATATTACCATTGAGGATCTGTGGAAACGCTGGAAAACATCTGAAGGTAGGTAAAGAAGAGTAGCTTAAAATAATGGTGGTTATTGAAATAGGTGTAATTCAGCAATGTTTCCACCAAGTAGTTTAGAGTAGTAAATGGATGACCTCCTGAAAGCACTTCCATGAATCTGTTTTGATTCTGTTATTTATAGACCAACTTAAACCTATCTGAAAAGTCAGTCCAGCTAGTGCTGATTTCCTCTTGACAGTGCTGGGTATATTGTAAGTAAACTAAGCTAGTTTACACACTCAATCTGTATGAGGTTGTAATTTATTAAGGTGACTGCTGCAAGCTCTGAATTCCAGACAAGGACACTTTTAATTCAGTAAGCCTTAAGAGCTGCTGTCAAGTAACATTTATTTATTTTTAACATTTATTATATGTTGTATTAAGTGGAAAGTCCAACGTACTTCCACTTTGGCATAAATTTTCTTTGGGCTACAAAGAGCTAGATTTCTTAGTCCAAAGCACTTTGTAAAATATTTTTAAACTCAATATACAGGACAATGGACTGACACCCTATCACCACCATCCCTCCCCCACTTTGATTTGAATAAAATAAGTTGAGCCAAATATTGAACAGTGCTTAATAAGTCGTACAGTGTTCATTGCCAAATATCTTCTGGGATGTAGTGTTAAAAAAGAAATTTCCAGAGACCCAGAATGTTAAAGTTGTTGGGAGAAAAATTCTTAATTCCATGCCCCCGCATGCATCCCATTCAGAGGTGTTGTGCTAAGATAAGAGATGAGAAAGTTGGTGTTAGTCAAACAGCTAAAAATAGGAACAAGAGAGTAATGAAACTAGGAACACGCCCTTGGTTCTTTTTTCTAGTATAGGAAGTAATTTAAGTGCAGTCTGAGGTGATACAAGTGTTTACTGTGTAGTAAACAAGTTTTTAACCACCAATTTTTAGCCTCTTTTCTTCAAATATTCTGTAAATACTTAGTCACTAGAGATCTTGTTCAGTTAAAGTATTGCAACTAAATTATCTGAGAAAATTATCTCTCTACAAGTATTAATCTGATTTATGAGTAACTCTTAAAAATTTAGGCCTCAGTGATAGTAGAAGTATCTTAATTTGCCTGTTGTGTATATCTTTGTTCCAGGTTTCTTGAAAGTAGTCAGCAATGTGAGTAAGACTCAAAAGATACAGAGGAATGTTTGGTCTTACTGTATATATATATAATGGCTGTAGTGTGCATTCTATTGAGGAAACTAGTGGTGCACCACTGGGAGGCCCTTAGAATGAGACTCCCAGGCTGGGTTAACAGTGGTCTGGTGACTGTTAGAAAGTATGAAGCCCCTCCAGTAATATTAGGGAACATGGAAAGTATTGTTTTTCATTTCTAGATGTTTTAGGAGTGTTATTTGTTTTTTATGTGCTGCTAGTTTATAGTGCTAGTTGCAATTTTACAGCATTAAACAGGAGGGTGGAAGGTGGTGTAAATGGTGCTATTAGTAATTTGAAACTTTAAGTAGTTTGAGGTATCTGAGAATGACAAGCTCTAAATCATGTCCTTGACAGTCCCTGTAACTTCCTATGCAGAAACATTTTTTGAATCTATTGCTGCTTGGTTTATGCTGATTAGAATTGCTCATTCCTTCCCAGAAAGAGTTCTTTATGTGGAATTTTTTTTTTAAGTATTTGTGAAATATCTTTACTCCCTGATTAAGATATTAGTGATGAGAGAGGTAAGATACGAGGGAAGAAAGCAAAAACACTGTTTATGGTGCAGTATATGTGCCATTGCTGTTTGGTTGGTGCATTGCTTTCTTAGGTTTAAGAAAGTGTAATTTTAAGTAATTGTTTAAGAAGATTTTCTTAACATTTCTCTAATATTTCTGGCACTGGGCAGGCATTTGATATCCCCACCTGGTGCTGAATTCTTAAGGCATGGTCTGAACTGATGTAAATTAAAGGAACTTCAAAGCTGCTGTAGGTTTTACCTGTGTGGAAGGAATCATGCCATAGCTTAAATCAGCATCTAGCCTATTCATTGTGTATTAATTTCCAGCAAACAAAGTTTAGTACAAAACCTTCAGTACAAAAAATTTTAGTACGAAAACAAGTCTGTCACTTGAGTTTTATTGATGTTATTTATGCTTTCTGTGACCATTTAGATTTTTCAGTCTCGCAGTCTAATTCTACAGAGAGAACTCCATTTAGAGGAATGACTAGGAACTAGCATAGCTGTTTGAAGCATAGAAAACACTACTAGCTAAAAGTCTTCTGACTTCTATTATTGTGTATGTGTGTTCTATAAATGTAAATGCCAGTATATGCTTGTTGTATGGTATTTGCTTTGACTATCTCACTAAGCACTATTTATACATCTCTATAGAGCCTTTCAGCTATTCTAAGGTATCAAGTTTAGTAGTTATTGTTGCTTCAGTATTTTTTCTACCTTGAGGACATGGTTTTTGTGAGGGAGCAAAAGTAAAAGATGAATATCTGCTTTGATGCCTGAATACCAGTCTTTTCAATTATACTTGAAAGTTCTGTATACTGAAAGCGTTTGCATTCCCATTTTTCCCCTCTAATGGGCGAAGGCCATATGAATATGCTGTCTGAAGAGAAATGTATAGTCTTAGCCTCAGTAGTAAGGGAGTCTGTAAATCAGATGAGGGGTTTTCAGCTGGCTAGACTTGTATTGGTGAATAGGTAGAATGCTGCATTCTTGGTTATGTAGCTTTGTCCCTTGGGGCTTTATTTTGTATCACAGTAAAACTATTGTAGTCAAACCTGGAGTTCATGAATGGTTTACTAATGTCAGATTAATATGAGCCCTACCAAAAGCTAGTTTTTCCAAACTGCCTTAAAGAAGTAGTTTTTCTTTTCCATTGTGGCATATTTGGCCTTCAATGTAGAGTGTGTCCTGTAGATAACCCTATAATACAAAAAAGCTTCTCCCCTGCCTTGTGCGTGTAGTTTTTTTCTTTAACTTTTTTCCTTCTCTGGAAAGTAGAAGGTGACTTGAAGTCTGGTACCTAATTTACTAGAGGGAAAAAGATTAAAAATTGCTTTACATGTGTACATGTGATCCTGTTTCTTATTCTGAAGTCATATCACACAAGTGTTCTTGCAGCGACTGGGATGAGTGTATACCACAGTGATGTTATGGTTGCCTTGTGCTTTCTTAGCCTTTTACTGTTTCAGGTTTTAAATATCAGGAGATTGGAAATGTGTCATGTGAGCAGAGCTTGGCTAAGGATGAGTTAGATAATACTGCATGCTGTTCCAGGCAGGGCCAGTATGGTACTGCAGACTGGCCCTTTTACCTGAGGGGAAATGAGTTGCAATGTTAAACTGGTTAAATGACAGTCAGGGTCACTTTCTGTCTTTTGCTCTTTTATCCTATTTAAAAATGTACTGGTGGCAGCATATTTCATGCTGATTTTGCTGCTGGAGGTCCTGCTAAAACAAAACTTAACTTTTAAATCCTTTTGTGTGCTTGATACAGAACAGTCTTGTGGTTTTTCTCTATTGCCTGTTCTCAATTTTAAACTTAATATATGGCTGTCATTCACTCCTTGCCATAAAATACTTTTATCAAATGTAATTTGATTACTGAAAGGGGTAGGAAGCCCATAGGAGTGCTGGAGGTGACACAGTAATATTATTCTATGTTTCCCTACCCTGAAGCACTGTGCTACATAATAAATTTAACATGAAAAAGTGATATATAGCCTGATTTTGTAAGCCATTAAAGCGGGTTAGCAACGAGCAACTTTCATACAGGACCAGTCTGAAACTACTTTTTTTTTGTCTTCACCTTCAGGCATGTTGTTATAACAGTTTAAAAAAAGAAAAAAAAGTAAAAGTACTCCAAACTTGTGATCTGAAATAGAGCAGCTGATGGAAGTCTAGATGAGTGCTGCACTGTAAACACTGTGGCTTCTACACCTGCCTGTCCAAGGCATGTTGCCAACATCCTCTCTCACAATATATATTTATGAAAATAGCGGTGAGAGGGAAGGATGTTTTTATTACTCTTTAATGCTATATGCATCTAACTTACAGCATTTGTCAGTTGCTACTCCAATGTCTGAAGTGCTACATTCTTTTTGGGTGATTAATATAAGGAAAAGTTACAACCTTAGCTAATTAGCAAGAGCTGGCACATTCCAATTAGCAATGCTGATCAAGATGAATTTCAGCTGGCCTGCTTGCCTTTCAGTACACCTGGTGTGTCACAGGTCTTGTGTTATGTTTCAGTAGGCTGTAACTGGTTCTGCTGAAGCTTCTCCGTACTGTGTGCTGTTGTAGAATTTGCATGTATGTTGGTCATAAAGTCTTTTTGGAGACAAATTAAGCAATATTTCTTCCGAATATATAGCATATAGAAGATATCAACAAAAAGAAACAGTCTGAACATTTTCACTGATACAGATAAATCTTCCAGGGCTCCACTGTGGTGTTTTAGGAAATCCCCAACTGGAAGAGTTGGGGATTTTGGGGCCCTGACACTGGAATTCTGCTATTATGTGTTTATAAATAGAGCCCAGACATTTTGCAGAAAAGCTTAGAAAAATATGACAAAACTGTGTCTGTTTCAAGATCAATACCTGGAAAACAGTTTGTGGCTCATAGGCAGAGCGAGAAATGGGAGAGCATGCAGGTAAGGCAATGAAGCTACTCAAATGGATAGGATACAAAAGCTTTGTACAGCAAGTTTAATTTTTAAAGCAGTAGATAAGGCTGTGGAATGTGTTCTGCTGTAGGTGTTCTGGAATTATGAAAATCTGAAATGTTTAAACTTACTTTTCAGCTGTGCTAGAGTAGACAAAAGACCTAGAAGTCCTTATATCAGTTTCAGTGCAAACTGTAATATGAATTTAACTAATAAAGGTTTCTGTTGCTTGTAGCTTCCCTGTCAAGCTTTCAGTAGCTCTTTGTAAAGGATCATTGTGAAAATTAACTGTTGAGAATTTGTCCTCATGATCAAGTTTATAAAGAAATCACTGCCCAGCATTGTCATGGGCAGGTAGCTAAACATGTGGCGGGTTGGTTTTGTTTGTTTTTTTGTTTTTAAAGGTATTTGTTTACGCAAAGATATGTCTGTCCAGAAGGACACTGTCACTTTATTTTTTTCATGCACAAACAAATTTTTGCAGGCTTCATAAATGCAAAGAACAATTTATCTTCGATTTTGTCAGTGAGAAGCTATAAGCTGTAGAAACTGGCCTGTAAGGCTGATTCCATGGGTAGTATTTTCTTAGATTACCTGTACCTGTGAAAGGTTATGTAGGCTTTTTTTAGACAGGAAAATTTTTTTATTATTCTCTACATGTTTCAATAACTTTTCTTAGTGAAAGAATTTTTGCATATAGTAGAGCTGGTTTTGGTCATATTCTAGAGAGATTCAGTTGTTTTCCTGTTACATGTCTTCTGTCTTTCAGTATTTTCTGTCAATCCTCTCTGCTCCCATTTCATGGTTAGTAGACATGAGCCTCTATGAAGATTCTTGTGAAAATAAGTTCCTTAATCCATCATCCTGGGAAAGATCTTGGTACATTGCCTTAAATGGCTTCAGCACCTGCTGATGTGTTTAGTTCTGCAAGGGTAGCAAGGGCAAAAGGATTGAGTCTCAGATCAGTTTAAGTAGAGAAAAGTCACAAGATGCTGTCCTGATTTAAATTAAAGCAAACCACTACATTATTCTGTGGAATTTTAATAAAGAAATGTTTCTTTTGATTCCATGCTTGTTTGTAGTTTGCCTAAGCTTCCTCTGAGAAGCATATAATGAAAAAGGCAAAATGCCAGAAACACCTTAGTGAATTTTTCTGCAATTATATTTGGCTAAACTCTTTCTCACTATAACTTGCTATTCTACTGATTGTTTTCTATATCTTGCTATTGATTTTTACAAAAGTTAAGATAATTAATCTCACTTTTTCTTCCAGTTCATAACTGGACTCAAGAGGATACTCTTCAGTGGCTCTCAGAATTTGTTGAACTGCCTCAATATGAAAAGAATTTTAGAGACAGCAATGTCAATGGGACAGCACTTCCCAGGTGAATGTTTATTCTGGATTCGTTTCAAATAATTCCCTGTAGGTTGCTGCTTTAGTCTGTATGTGGGAACAACTGTGTGAACCTAAAATGTAACAGAATATGGTCAAATGCGAGAAAAGAGAAGTGTCCTTGCAGCTGTGAAGAGGTGGCTACTTTTTTTTTTCTGCCAAAATATTAAAAAATGTAAATGCTTCTTGCCACTCCTTTCATCCTAGTTCTGTTTCTTGCTCTGGGAACTTGTTATCAATGATCACATAATTCTGTATGCTAGCAGACTTTCTTTTGAGCAACTTCTGATCTATTGTTTGGATATGCATCAAAAACTACCTGCAGAACCCCTTTTCTTGAGCATAACTACTAATTTTCAGTATTCCATGTATTTCAGAGTGTTGGTGTCACAAGTCTGCAAATATGCCATTACCTTTAACTGTGCCAGATGATTTTATTTCGTTATTAATCCAGAAAGATTAAAGAAATTAAAGATTACAGAAAGAAAAGGGTGGGGAAAAGATTGAATGTTCTTCCTTTGCCACATTCTGATAAGCTTTTTTACGGCATTATTGTAATTGTATTTAGATTTCTCTAATTGCATAACTGTCATTTATGTAGCTGTGGGAAATGATATTGATGTATTTATTTCCATAGACTGGTTTTGAATATAGCTTGTGGAATAGGTAATGTTTTGTCTTATTGTTAACAGGATAGCAGTAAATGAACATGCTTTCATGATCTCTCACTTGAAAATAATTGACCGGAGCCATAGACAGAAGCTACAGCTTAAAGCTTTGGATGTTGTTTTGTTTGGACCTCTCACACGTTAGTAACTTCTTGAAGTTTTTTTCTTATCTCTTATTTGTAAGAATTCAACAAGAGTATTTTCAGTGACACTTGGTACTTTAGGTAGGACAGCTTATCTATTTTGTGGATAGACTGATGGACCATTTGGATTTGTGTAACTGGGTAATGAATTAAAAAAGGTTATCAAGATGCTGGGATGAGGACAAAGATTTGCTTCTGTGTGTAAGATTACATAGAAATTTTATTATAACCCTTCATGACAGATGTTTGCTTTTGTGTCAAAATAAGTGTCCTCTAACAGTTTTTGAGTCTTCAGAATACACTTACAGCTAATGTTACATTCACTTCCCAATTAGCTTCAGCAGCTTAAGCTGGACTGCTGAAACAAGAGAGACTAACCTTCCCTCAGGAAGAAAAAAGGAGAAGGTGCAAATCGAATCACTGAATCTTAGGGGTTGCAAGGGAGCTTGAAAGATCATCTAGTCCAACCCCTTTGCCAGAGCAGGATCACCTAGAGCACATCACACAGGAACTTGTCCAGGCGGGTTTTGAATGTCTCCAGCGAAGGAGACTCCACAACCTCTCTGGGCAGCCTGTTCCAGTGCTCTGTCACTCTCACAGTAAAGAAGATTTTTCTGATGTTTACGTGGAACCTCCTATGTTCCAGTTTGCACCCTTGTCCTGTCACTGGATGTCATTGAGAAGAGTCTGGCTCCATCCTCCAGACACTCGCCCTTTACATATTTGTAAACATTGATGAGGTCGCCCCTCGATCTCCTCTTCTCCAAGCTAAAGAGACCCAGCTCCCTCAGCCTTTCCTCATAAGGGAGATGTTCCACTCCCTTCATCATCTTTGTGGCTCTGCCTTGGACTCCCTCAAGCAGCTCCCTGTCCTTCTTGAACTATACACAATAGCAGTGTCTCTTGCAAATTTGAATTTAAGTGCAGTTAAATTTAATCCAGCAGTTCCATATCTGACCTTTTTTGGCATAAGAAGATATTTCCTTACCACATCACTAGTGCTTGCTTTTACAGTTACAAACCTGTTGTGGTACTGTGTGTGTTGGGTATTCCTGAACTGGGAGGCCTTCCCAGAGCTTGGTTGGTCAGTTGAGAGAGTAGTGAATGACTTCAGAAAAGTCAAACCATATCTGAGCTGGCCTGACTGCTCGAGTGAGTCTGACAGTTCTGAGCTGGAAATTTTTTTGGGTAAAAAAGCACTTTGTTTGCGTGATACCTTTAGTGCTACCAGAAATTCTTACAAAGAGTTTGTATTGCAAAGATACAAGCGACTATAAAAATTGAAGTAAAAAAGAAGTATATGTGAATCTTGGATATGATTCTTTGACAATTCAAGGTCAGGGTATGCTTTTAAAAAGTGCTGCTATTAACTATTTACCCTTTGAAAATCTACTTTAGTTTGTACAAGTGCATTTTTAACCTCAGCATAAGGTATTTTAGTGGGTGCAGAATAGGGAGAACTTACACATAACTGAAGTTCCGACAGGCCTGGTGAAGTGTAATTAGGGAAACTTAACTCATTTAAATAAAGATACAGACTATATACTGTAGAAGTTTAGTAAGCTTTCTTCGATCTAAAGTGTGTTTTAGTATAGGTTAAGTAGATTGTATTAGAACTGAGTTGTATGAAAAAATGCTCTGGAATACATTTGAAAGGTGGTTGTTGGAGATGGTTTGAAGTGAATGAGCTAGAATTCTGCTTAACATAAAGTTCTGTCGCCTTTTAGGCTGCAGGCCAAAAAGAAGTCCATAGTCTGTTGTCTCTATCAATGAACTAGTTAATGATCATGTTATTCCCTGCACAGGTCCCCCTCACAACTGGATGAAGGATTTTATATTAACAGTTTCTATAGTTATTGGGTTTGGAGGCTGCTGGTTTGCATATACACAGAACAGAACCTCAAGAGAACATATCACAAAAATGATGAAGGACTTAGAAAGTCTCCAAACAGCAGAACAAAGTCTTCTTGACTTGCAGGAAAGGTATAAACACTAAAAAAAGTTAATGTTATCCTTTTGGTTTGAGATTAAATACAAATATAGATCCTTTACAGCCATATATTATTTGTATTAAGCTGCCTGTGGATTTTGTTCTTCTTCATTTTGCATGGAAATTGTGATTTCAGTGATAATGGGTTTTTGGGTGGAAATTACCCCTGGATATTTTAGCAGACAATATGAACTTGGGGATGAGGGTAGAGAATAGAGGTTAAATTTTTTTTAACTACAGATTTAGAAGTGTGTACTGTTTTCATATAATTAGAGTTTACTTTGGAATACTTACTTACATGGAAAGGAGAACATTCTTCCTGGTTTAAGCTCTTAAGGTAGAATCAGACCTGGTGTGATTGTTTTCTAATGCTTATTTAGCAATGGAAGAGTTGATAGTAATTTCTGGTGCACTTTTAGCTCAACTATCTATAAAGACTTTGTTTTTTTTCTTATTACACCTTTAATGAAGGTTCACCTGAAAGTTTGCATATTTTGTCTGACATGGACATCACATTATGTGATGTAATTGCTGCTGATTCATAAAGCTTGCCGAGTCTTTATTATCACAAAATGGTTGTGGTTGGAAGGGACTTCTTGAAGGTCCTCTTCTCCAGCCCCACATGCTCATATAGAACAGCTTGCCCAGGACTGTGTCCAGGCAGCTTGTGAATATGTCCAAGGATGGGGACTCTGCCACCTCCTTGGGCAACCTACATAGGTTGCTGAGTCACCCTTATGGTGAAAGTGTTTCCTGATGTTGAGATGGAACCTCTTGTGTTTTGGTTTGTGCTCATTGCCTCTTGCCCTGTTGTTGGACACATATTCTTTTTCTGAGGACTGCAACTTTTAACAAATATGCTGTGTGTTTTCTCATATTTTTTTGTTCAATTGTGAAGACTTGAGAAAGCACAAGAAGAGAATAGAAATGTTGCTGTGGAAAAGCAAAATCTGGAACGCAAAATGATGGATGAGATCAATGATGCAAAACGGGAAGCTCATCGCCTAAGGGAGTTGAGGGAGGGAGCTGAATGTGAGCTCAGCAGGCTCAAATACGCAGAGGAAGAGTTAGTACAGGTATTTGCAAACTGATTGCAATTTGTGTTGACTAGATTGGTCCTGGTTTTGTTAGGTCCATAGGAATTTTTTAAAGCAGTGTTTCTCTAATGCTGGAACTGAATGGGAAAATTGTAAGAGCTCTTAATTACTGTCTGGCAATCATACCATTGTCTAGTAAAATAATCCTGAAACTTTAAAGGGACATAGACTTTGAATGTTGGTCTATCATAATGTTGTTGGATTAATTGAACAAAATATATATACAAAAGCTTTGTTTTTTCCTCTCTTGTTATCAGATGAGAGACAGTAGCTTTGTCTTGCTCTTCTGAATAGCAATGGATTGGTTCAATTGTAACAAATAAAAATGTCTTAAAAATATTTAAGCTTCAAATTAGGTATGATGTATCATAGAAAAAAAACCAACAATGGAGCCTAATATTGTATAGGGAAATTAATATATTTCAGAGCTGTCTGATCTGCCTTCCTGACAACAATTGGCACACACAAAAGCTCTGTAAATCCTCAAGTGTGTTACTGTGGGGTATAAAGGTGCTTATATTCACTTTCTAGTGCTGTCAGTTGTAATTATACTCTTGGTGACACTTTTGTTTTGATTGTTAGGTTCGCATGGCTTTAAAAAAGGCTGAGAAGGAGTTTGAGCTGAGAAGTAATTGGTCCGTTCCTGAAGCTTTGCAGAAGTGGCTTCAGTTAACACATGAAGTTGAAGTACAATATTATAATATCAAAAGACAGCATGCAGAAATGCAATTAGCAATTGCCAAAGATGAGGTACTAACTCTTACTCTTCAGCTACTTAAAGACCTTTCTGATATTTGAAATAGTAAATACAAATCATTCCAATATGAATTTGTATGTTTTTTTTTTCCTTTTGTGAGTTGTTTGCTGCCTGTCAGCATTGCTAATGTTTTGTGATCTGTGTTAGGTATATAAGTCCTAGTTTTCTGCATTTCATTTTATCTTTCTTTTTAGGCAGAAAAGATAAAAAAGAAGAGAAGCACTGTATTTGGAACATTACATGTTGCACACAGCTCCTCGCTGGATGAAGTGGACCATAAAATCCTTGAAGCAAAGTAAGAGTATTACCAGGATGCATATACTTTTCCAATTATTTATTCGGAACAATTAGGAACAATGTAATTTTTTAGTTTTATGGAATTTAGCATCTTAGTGGTTTTGCAGTTTACTATATTTTAAAGTGTTTTACTTAAAAGTGTTACTATTTTGACAGTTGTAATGGATCTTCTGGTCTGTGGGAATGACTGCATTTTGCTGTTTGGCTATTGCTTTGCTTTATCATTAAGGATAGTTTATGTAATTTTAATATGTACTTTTCTTCAGGAAAGCACTCTCTGAGCTGACAACATGTTTGCGAGAACGTCTTTATCGATGGCAACAGATTGAGAAGATTTGTGGTTTTCAAATAGCACACAATTCTGGGCTACCAAGCTTGACATCATCGCTCTACTCTGATCACAGTTGGGTAGTTATGCCTCGAGTTTCCATTCCTCCGTACCCAATTGCAGGGGGAGTTGATGACTTAGATGAAGATACTCCTCCAATAGTTTCCCAATTTCATGGTAAGTGGTGAGCTTGGTAAAAAGAAAAGGAAAAATATGTGGAGACATGGGATTTTAAAGTCAGCTGGGAGAAGAGTACTGAAATCAGACAAGGTTGGATCAAAGGCAAAAGGACCAAAATTCTATTGAGCATTTCAGATGCGTCTTTTGGGACTTGCATAAACAGAATGCTGGGTATTGCAGTTAAGGTAACATGAAGAAAAAAGCCTTTCTTCCAATTCAGTTGGTGAGTGGGAGGCAAATTCAGCTCAGATTTCTAAAGTCTGCTTGTCATACTTTGATTACCAATTAGACAAATTTTTGAGTAATGATGAATTCCTGTTAGCACGTTTATTCTTTCAGATGGCAAGGATGGAGTTAGTCTAAGATCCCTTGAGCTTCTAGGAAGATCACACCCTTTGAGAAGCTGCTTTTCAAACCTTCCTTAGCAGCTGGAGCAAAATCCTGTTGTTCAAGAGCAGCTTTCAGACAGAATGTTTGTGTTTGGATACAGTGGGTTGTTTGAGTGTGAGGCAGAAAGGCCATGGACTGGAGAGAAGGAAGGAAATCCAGCTTTGGTTAAACTGATGAAAAGATACATGCTGGAGATTCAGACCACCCTTGTGTCTTGAGTCATTGCATCAGTACAACAGCCTGTTTCATGGAAATTGTGATTAACTAGACTCTAGAGGCAAATAAAAAAAAGGAGCTCCCATGTAGCGATTCAAACAAGTAATACCAAGCAGAGGAATGAGTAGGGAAAAGAACTTTGTCGTATGTGTACATTTTTATTCCAGGGCTGGGATTCTCAGAAGAAATTAGAACTCTTAAAATAGTGCAAGACAAATGGTCACCACTTTACTGGCTACTAGTGAGCCCTGGACACATGTTTTTCTTCTGAATGTACCAACCTGTTTTTTACAGGTGACATTGAAAAGTGGTTTAATCCCCGTGCAACACTACTTACTGCAAGTTCTGACCCCTTTTAGAGAGTGCTGTCTCTGTAGTCATCTTCACTGTGAAGGCTTCAATTTAAACCTTAACAACAAATTCATTGGATAACCCAGTAGACTCTGGATGCCTAGAGTTAGACTTCCAAGTCTGTGTGGAAAAAAGCTGGTGGTCTGATTTCAAAATAAAGAGCTCCATTTATTATCATGACTTCCTAGATGGTCTAAAGTGACAAAACACTTAGATATGTATATAAGACTTCAGACTTGGGATTTTTTTAGTCACTCTTCTCACTCAGATCTTGCATAGAGGTGAAGCTGGAGAGCTAAGTGCTGTTGGTTCAGAGGCATTACTATTAGAGAAGGACTGTACAGTTTGTAAGAGCTTGGGAGTGGAGAAGGAGAAAGAAGATTTGCTAAATGATCTGTTGAAATCAGTTCAGGAGTCGGGTACATCAGTTCGGTAACTGCTAAATTATTCTCATCCTTTAGACAAAAATGATGAATGTCTATTATTAAAGACAGAAGTAAAAGGACTTGTCTCACTCATGAGGCTTCAGGCAAAATGCAGTGTGCAGATAGGTCATTGAGGAGCAAGGCTTTCAGTCTCTGGACCTAAACTGCCTGTTACCTTGCCCCAGCATCCTTTGATCCTTTAAGACTGATGAAATTTGAAGTCTGGTGGTCAGGGTGCTTTGTACTGCAGCAACTGGGATGATAGGCAGAAGTGGTGTGAAGTAATAGATCTGTGTAATCAATCCTGAGCTGAAGAACAAAAGGGGATAAAGAAATAGTTGTGCAAGACTAGAACAAAGTCATTACAGGAGGATGTTATTGAAACTTCTACTTTTCCATTGACTGATTAGGATTCAGCTGATTTCTTGATTTAATGAGTTTCATTTGTACTAGAAGATCATAGATGTTGAATTTGCACAGCTGAATCTTTCATAATCCTGTATGTACATCTACAAGGAACCGAAACACTTTTAACTTGGCTCAGAATTCACTGATGGTGCAATCTTGTTCTTTTTTTATACCAGTGAGTAGGATGGCATTTGATATACGTAGACACATCGTGCAAATTACCTAAAGGGATTTTTATTCTTTTATCTCAGTTCACATTTTCTTTTTTAGGAGTATTTTTGTAAAGACAAACTTATTTTTGAGTTGCCAACACCTGCTTTTCAGATCAGTGGGGAGTTAATAAAAAGTAAAATCAAAAGTTTGAGTTACATGACAATTGTTGTGTTGGAACTTTTAAACCTTCCTTTTCTGCTTAGCTTGGCAAGAAACAAAGTCTAAGAGTTGGCAAAAGTGCACCTCCTTGCTGTTTTGTGAATGTTGTGATTTCCTGCGCTAAAAGCGGAATGACAGCTCAACCTTTTCTGCGATTAAGGATCAGAAGTTGTAATTTACCTAATGCTAAAGTGGCATCTCAAAAATAAAATGCATTTTGTCAGCCTCGATACCGTTGTGTGTAAAACAATTGGAATTTTTTTTAGTGTATTGTGTTTGATAAACCTTTTGAACATCACTAAGTGTTTGGTCTTTCTTACCTAAGCAGTGATGCATTCAGTGGGGCAGTTTGAAGAGAGATATGAGAGGTCCTGAGGCTTGTAACAGCTAGCCTGAAAGCAGATCTATAGATTTATTTCCGTAGAAGTAATGCTACCTAATCATCTTTTGAAGGATTAGGAACGTTTTAGTTTGTCACTTCCTGTTAGATATTTTCCTGGTAAAGTCTTGTGTTGCGATCTCCACCCATTATTAGTCTTTGTTTCTGGAAATTCATAATTAGCCTGACAAAAGAAGGTGTTATCAAATAGGAAATTCTTGAGCTTAAAATGAAGTTGAATTATATATTTTCTGTCATGTTACACAAATAAAATTTGTCTTCAATGTCTAGTCTAACTTTAAACCACTACAGTGTATTTCAGTTTACTGTTTGGTTAGGTATAGCTACATTGCAAAACTTCGACATATTCTTTTAAGCTCCAAATTACCACACAAATGAAACACTGGAAATTGTGTAACAAGTTAATTTTGGCACTCCTGTTTTTAGTTTAGAAAGGGTTAGGATTTTCAGTAGAATCTTTCTCTTTGTTCTCAAGAGAGCATAGCAAGCTAGAGCTTTGGTGCACATGGTGAGAGTAATATTTGGCAGACACAAAATGGCTAAAGTTGCATCCTTGTTAGCTGCTTCATCTAACTGTTTAAGGTGATGCCAGTCTTTCTTCCCTCTAAAGACTTGAAAAATGTAAAAGTTGTTTAAGAATCACTATGGCTGAAGCAGATGCCTGCTCTTAGTCTGAAGAGTAGATATTATTAACATCAATGTCACTTGGAGGGTTTTGGTTTGCTTTTTCTTTGCCTCAGGGTCCATTGTAAAACCTCCCAGCACACTGGCAAGAAGCAGTAGCTTGTGTCGATCAAGACGTAGTGTTGTGCCATCATCTCCACAGTCTCAGCATGCTATGCACTCCCCTGACCCTGACATCCTTTCTGTGTCGAGCTGCCCAGCTCTCTATCGAACTGAAGAGGAGGAGGAAGCCATTTACTTCTCTGCTGATAAACAATGGTATGGAGATTAGCAAACAGCACTTGAAACTGATAGGATTGTTTGAGACTAACAGTTTAGAATTAAAGGTTAAACCAAGCCAAAAGTTAATGTAACCTGTAGGATAATATAAATTAACATAATCCTCATGGAACAGAGAGAGTTCTTGTCTGGAATGTGTATGTAAATAGCTAGCATGTCATATACAGTTAAGTAATGTTACAATCCAGGGTGCACTGAACTAACCCTGATTCTCCATTACAATATGTTACTGGCTTTTACATCTGAAACTAGGATCAAAAGCAGTGTCAGCTACTGGGCGAAGAGAAGATGGATGGTAACACAATTCTTACAGCATGTTGAGCGTGTACCTACTCTTGTTACATGGCCTCATAGGAAAAGGTTAAATTCCTTTTGGAAGGAGCAAATGAGCTTGTTGAAAGGTAGGGACACTTGTCCTGAAGAAATTTTTTGTATATGATAGGCTTAAATCTCCTTCTTTCATTTCATAACTTCTCTGACTTCATGTGCCAGAAAGATAGTTTTTGTTCTTTGAAGTGAGATACAAATGACTGATTCTGAGTAGATGCTGCTGCCCACAAAAACAAGATTGCACAAACTAATTACCTTAAGTTTAGATAATAAAATGATGTAACGCAAGTTGTGAGTTAAAATGTTTAACATAACATTTTTTGTTAATTAACTACTAAGGAAAAGCGGGGGTGGTGCTTTTAGACTAATGCTATTGATTCTAAATTAATTTCCTTTTCAACTGCATGAAGGAAATAGTAGTTTCATTATGTTTTCTCTTTGCTCTGACTCAGGGAAGTACAGGAAACAGGTTCGGAATGTGACTCCCTAAATTCATCTATTGGAAGGAAGCAGTCTCCTCCAGCAAGTCTTGAGATATATCAGACACTTTCTCCTCAGAAAGTATCCCCAGAAGAATTCTCACTCGAGGAATCCTCTACAGGAGACTCCTCTTCTCTAACTGCAGATATTTCTAGGGGCTCTCCTGACTGTATAGGCATGGCAGAAACTAAGAGCATGATCTTTAGTCCTGCAAGCAAAGTTTATAATGGAATCCTGGAAAAGTCCTGCAGCATGAACCAGCTTTCAGCTGGGATCCCAGTCCCGAAGCCTCGGAACACCTCGTGTTCTTCAGCCAGCAGTGATAGTAAGCCCAGTCATGAAGCTGCTTCTGTTCCTAGGATAAGTAGCATCCCACAGGACCTCTACCAAAATGGTGAAAAAACCAAAAAGCCATCAAAAATAAAAAGCCTCTTTAAGAAGAAGTCTAAGTGAGGTTGGCAGAAGAAACCTATAGTAATGCTATAAGAACTCTGTTTTTTTAATCTTTAGGAATGTAATTCAATTTGAGCATTCCAGACTGGATGCCCTAATGGAATGCTCAGTAGGTCAACTATATTTAACTGACTGTACTGTCAAAGGTTGTGCCAGCTGTCAATAAGAAATCATTAAAAAGTTCAGACAGTTTACATTCATTTCTGCCTATTTATTTCCTTTTTCTAGTTTGTCTTTTGTAGTGTTTTTTTAGTTTGTTGTTGATTTGTTGTTTGTTTTTTCTCTGTCTATTCATAAACGATTTTTAAGCCACTTTGGACTTCTGAGCTTTAACGGACTAGTAAGCCTTCCTGGGCTTGCCAAAGTTTCTTGTTTACTGGAGCATCTTCCTATCTTTCCATAGAGCTAGGACATTTATCTACAGAACTGTAAGAAAAACAAAAGAAGTAGAACTAATTGAATTGCACTACTGTTTTACAGACTGGAGAAGTCTCTGCAAGTGAAAGACTTGTATTTGACTGAGAAGATGAATCTTTTCACTTTTAGATCTTTTGGGGTTTTTAAGTAGAACTTAGGATTTCTAATTGACTTGATTTGTGGAAATGGAAATGCCATGCATTTATTATGGGAAGCTTTGTTAGATGCATTTATTATTAGAATGGTTCAAGTCCTGCTGTAAAGATCATGTTTTTCCCAGGACTTTCACTGTGATTTTGCTTCACTGCAGGCTGTATGATACACACAAAAAAATAAAATGAAAAAAATAAAGAAAATAAAAAAATATTAAGAAGATAAGAGGCTCTGGATTCCTGATGCAAGTGATGGATATGAAACTTGACTGAGGACTGAACTTATTCGCCTTCTTAAAATGAGGAGGGGGATAGGTGGCTTTTGTTTACAGACTGACAGACAATGGACCTTCAGTTTGTGGAAGTTTGTACTGTGGTAAAGATAATAAACTGGAAACATTATTGTGCTTGGGAATGTTCTGATTTTAGCTGATGCTTGTTTCAGACATGTTTCAGAGCCCTGTTAATTGAAAGCTGTTGTAGGCTACATTGCTTATGCTTACTGCTATGTATAAGTTACTATATTTTTTGGATTTGCTATTGATGTCTTAATGCCCTCCTTTTGTAAAATTTCATACATTTTATTTTTGTATAGTTTGAAGATTTAGCTGTTCAGACATGTCTAAAGTAAATGGTATAATTTTATAATGCATACTGTTATACTAACTCATAATTTTAGATATAAAGATAAAGGTGAGACTCCACATGCTTCAGATAAAAGCAATTTTTATGTTAAACTTTTATAGGGGGAGGTGAAATTACTACTAGGTAACAAGGAATCCTTCTTAGGACAACAATAGCTAGTTGTTAAAAAATGTTTTTACTTTAACAGTTGGAGACAACAAATGTACTGCATGAGCAACAGTGCCTTTTATTCAGTTTGTCTGAAAATACTAATACTGAGCAGGAATTTCTTTTGAGGTACATTCCAAAGAAGGTATTCCTTGCTCTAGTGAACGCAAGCAATTTACCCAGTGATGACTAAATGGTTTAAGCTCTTCCATAGGGGTATTCTAGTTGCCTCACTCCTTTCCAATATGTACATGCTGTACTGTATGAAAGAATTAATTCACTGCCTAAATTATTTCCTAGTAAGGAGCCTTCAAAACCTGTAGTTAATTGAAATCAAGTGATAAGTGCTTTTTCTGTTTCATTTAGGTTCCACTGTACATTACTGATACGTCAGCTCTGTCCTCAAGAACTGGTGGTGATGTTAACAGAAACATTTGCTATGGGTAGTGAAACTGCTAGAAGAGGAAGGTTAGGTAATGGATGGAGACCTTACATATGCAAGTACCTTAAAAGTTCTGGTACACTAACTAATTCTGTAAGAGAATGTAAGGAATCCAGAGTTCTGCTGTCTTAACAAAGAATTATTATTCTCTAAAGAAAAGCATAAGACGAATTAACTGTTTGGTAAAGTTTGGAGAAGGGAAAACTTGATTGAACAGAAAATAATAACATATTATTGTTCCATTGTTTGCAGAATCATCAGATTGAACAGCTATAGCTGCAAAAAAAGTGATCACAAAGTAACAGGTCTCTTTGAACAAAGAATTATACACTCTGTGATAGACAATAAAAAAACAACAACAGCTATGTAAAAAGACTTGTTCCAGGGAACCACCTCAATGCTGAGCTTTCAGAGTTGTAGTTAAAAGCCTGATGAAATATCTGAACCTTGTACAAAGGAGAAAAAATATGTGCAAGTAGGGAACTTTACATCCCAAACTGCATGGAGAATACTACTACCAGTAAAATGTTCAATTTTGATGTCTGCATTTCACAGGGCTATAACAATAATTTAGTTTAAAGTAAGATCTGGGTCTGGACAGTAGATCTTGCAGTGTGAGGTTTGAGGAACTCGGTCTCTATCATTACCAAAGATGATGAAGTGACATTTTTATACTGGGGAGTAAATATTTACAAATGAAAAAAAATATCTGGTACTGAGGAGTTGGAGGACAGCACTTCTTAATCCTGATATCAGTCAGGCAGCTCAAATACTGAGAGGCCAGAATAGACAATTTCAGTTTTCTGTAGTAAGTATAACTAAAATTTGAAATAGAAATTGGACTCTTCACTGACTGTGAGTTATGTTATGGTGTTGTACAAGCAAATTAGGTGGGATTATCATAGTGATAGATTTTAGCTTCAAAGTGGCAAACCTTTGGAGCACAGACTGCTCTCAAGACTCAGTTTATCACCAGCTGTCCTGTAACTTTATAGCTGCTACTTAATAAATATTAGAGAACTAAAAGTATAAGTTAATATGATTAGAAGTGGTCAGTATTTTATGTTTGGGCACAAAATGTAATTTTAAGTTAATAAAGTTGCTTTTTTATTATTGTTTGAATAGACCCCTTGCATATCTTGTCACCTGAATTTGTCCACAATCTAAGGGAGTTGCATTGCTCCTACTATGGCTACTACAGACATGTTTGTATTCAAACTGGTAGCATACTTTTGCTAAGGTATGTTGAGAGCACTGACTCTGAGGTAGATTCTTCATGAAGCACCTGATACATGTCAACATATCAGAAGTGAGACAATATGCTTTAAAAGGTCTTACTCCATTTGCTTAATGGTATAACTTGTTCAAGTCAGTGAGTTGATCTGGCATTCCAACCATGAGGATTTATCTGACATATCAGTCATTTGAGGCAATTGTCTACTGTTGTCCTGTTTAAATGGTTGATGACTTCCTAAGCTCTGAATGCATAACGGTTATGTTGCTTTTTTGAGCTCTTACAGCTAAAATTCATGTTCTATTATTAAATTTTCTAGTACTTTTCAGAAGGGAGAATCTTCGCTTTCCTAAGTATTTTGTTAGAGTCATTTGTCAGCACAGTGGCCCCTTTGTGGAAACTACCTGAAAGGCTTCTCCCTGAAGAAGTTACCACTTAAATCTTCACCTGTGAAGGGAAGAATTATTAAGTGTGTGGTTCTATATGAAGAAGAAAAATACCCCAGTTCTTCCAAAACTGAAAAACCTGAACCCATCCACAATTCTTACTAAAGCTATGTGACTCTTCTTTCTTAATACTGTCAATTTTAGGAAGGATTTCCTAGTTGCCATGGGAAATACTTTTGAGCAGCTTACAGTGGGCTTTGAGATTAAAACAGGTCAGTCTTTCCCTGCTCAGTGATGAAATTTGAAATTGTGTTTTGGCAGTTCTAGGGCTTAAGTCTAGGGCTTTCCTTCCCCTGCCTCACTGCTACCTAGATTTACCCTCTGCTTTCTGATGTGCAGTTTGCTGAATGAGGGAAGGTTCTCCATCACAGTCCAGGGAATAATGTTACAGGAAGAACACAGATCCTCCCTGGAAGCCTTGAAGTTGATGAAGTCAAGGATACTTGACTTCAGTTTTCTTATGATATTTATGGATGTGAGCTTGAGTTAGGCATTAACTTATGACTGACTGAAACTCTAGGTTAAAATTAATCAAAATTGAAGCTTTCCATAGTTTGCCCTTTTGCTTCCCAATAGATGGGAAAACAACACACAAAGGAGAGAGACAAGCTGTAATTAGCATTTCGCATACTAGCAGCTTCTAGAGCTTCAGGATTGTTTCATTCCATGAATACATGAGATACATTGCTAGGGAGGGATTACTACCTTAATTTTATAATGTATGCAAAGAAGCATTTGTTTTTCATTTACTTCCAGGCAGGAGAGAAAAAGAAATAAACGGAATGCTTAACTTTAAAAGGTGGGGTTGTTTTTGTTTTTGTTTTTTTAAGCTAAATAGACGAATTACTGGTTCTTAGACCTCTTTGCTATTTGCTTATCTCCTTGTACAGTATGTTAAATAGGGTGAACATGGTTTTTTATCTGTTCCAGTTGCACTGACTAAAGTGAGGCATTGCTATCTCATGTATGAAACACTGCCTGCTCTGGATTGCTGGAGGCATTTTAATCTTGGGTGTTGCATCTTCATTGAATAATGGTTAAGCCTACGAAGGCTGGTTGATTCCAAGTGCTGGTGTCTGCTTTTCTACTAGTGACTTAAAATATGGATGTTGATATAACCAATAACCAAAAAAGGCTTTTGCCAGTAGAGTTTGACTGCCTGACAGCGTGTAAATGTTTGGGTAACCATTCTTTGAGGCTTCAGTAACAATTCAACAGATTTGTACACATTTCAACGAATAGCTTACCCCTCCAGCCCTGTAGAGACAGTGCTGGTCTGAAACTCCACTCAGTCCTCTCTTGTGTAAACAGAATACAGTGATTCATATAAATTGTAACAGTCTTAACCTTGAAACTGTTATTCCCAGTTGCTTTTGCATCTGCCATGACTTAAGTAAGATGGCAGTACTTACCAGTCCACTTAAGTCTTTCAGAAATAAAATGGGTTTGTTTTATTTTTTTCTCTACAATTTTGAATCCCCAAGTTTACCAAACTGTATTCATGTTCCATGTATTTAATGCTTTTCTGAAATGAATGTGGAAAGGTTGCTCTATGTGTAGATGTTAAAAAAGCACATTTGAACAGAAGATGAAGAGTTCATAGGTATTTCATCTGCTTCTGTGTCAGATGCCTAATGAAGGCTCACAACTAACATTGCTGGAGATGAGAGGTACATTCAATCTAAAAGCTTTCAGATTAGTAACTCCATCCAAGAAAAAAACCAACTTATTTAGAGGTACTCT